GACGAAATAGATAAACTTGCAAAAGATGGTGTTGGCTGGGAAGAAAGCTTCTTTCAATTTATGGAGTACAATGTTTGATTTTGTAAAGATTGTATTTGCTTAGCTAAGAATTCAACTTTATGTGAATTGCGATTAAGGTTGGACTCTAATGATTGATTGTTGGAGGATGTGTTGGAGGATAAAGCAAATTTTAGACATGGATTTTGTTTAAACATTACAGATTGAGAATTAACATGGAAACTTACCAGGTCAAATTTGTAAATTAATTTATATTTCCATCATAAGTACTCTTTTAATTCCCTATAGTATTGAATAATGACCACCTTTTTGTTTCATGTCCTCCTATTGCTTTTTATTTCTTCCTTCTTTAACCCCTCGTTTCAAGAAATAGAGATTTCTCTATTTTATGTCTTCTCATAGTTGGCATCAGTCGGTATTTCTCTCTCTCTCTCTCTCTCTCTCTCTCTCTCTTTCTAATATTGGTGTAAGATCTTGATATGGTATATTTCTACTCTCCCTTTTTTTTCCATTTAGTATCTAAAGAGTGGGCTTTTTACCCTTGTACGATACTTTTAAGAGCCCTGTCTCTTCCTTTTCCACTCCTGCTTCTTTTTTACATCCTTTTTCTACTCTTGTGCCCATGTTACTTTCTAGGTTGTCATTCAATATTAATTGCCTTCCTTCCTTCTTTTTCTTTACCGACATGTCCTTCTGAGGCATTCTTCCCATCACATTCCTTTTCCACCTCACCCTTTTTCCACATCAAATCTTCTCTTCTTGTTTCTCTAAAATTGTCGATGTCTTCCTTCTCTCGTTTCGCCGACTGTTTCTTTAGTGAGCTTCCATAAGAAATTCCTTCCCATCTCTATCTTCCTTTTTTTCCTTCCTATCTCTTGTTTCCATCTTCTTTATGCTTTCAACCCTTGTGAAACTCTATAGCAATCACATTGAAACAATAATCTACCACTTTCAATCCACCCTCTCATCAATTCTCTGCTTTCTCGGTACCACTATGTATTGACCCTCCTTAAAGCCGCATCCTCCATTTTCTCTCATCAACCTTTACCTGCTCTCCCAATATTTTGCCAGTTTTGAAGTGTATAGACTGAGCCCAAAATGCCTTTTACTACTACCCATTTTTACTTTGTCGAAACTATAAAATCCTTATGCCACACCTCCACAAATAAAAACCATTTTTTCAAGCCTTCCATTTCTTCTTCCTTTCTTCCTTAAATCTTTCCTCTTTATTGAATGTTACTAACTAGGAAATTTTCTAGAGCTAACCTCCTCACTATCACCCTCCATGGCAAGCTTGTTTGGATATATTGTTGTAGTATTTCAGCCTCCATGTGATACTTTACTCTAGTTATCACACACTTTAGCAACCAATGAAGTTTCTCCACTTCGAGAAAACCATCACAACTCTTTTCACAATTTTGATTTCTCCTTATCGAGAGTACTGTACCACCATTACTTGAGCATATGTCAGCTTTCTTTCTTCCTTTAACATCAATGTATCTGTTGATTTTTTCCTTCTTTCTCCAATTTGTGTTATGCTACTCATACCTGGCTAAGTTTACTCCAATCCTCTACTGAAGCAACTAATAAGATCCATTGAGACATGCTTACAAAATCACCACCTATCATGCTTCAATGTCCCGACCATGCCTTACAAAATCGAATCTTCTTCTTGTTTTGCTTCTTCTTCGTACTATGAAGACATCCTTAACCTCCCCAAATAGTGCACTAAGATCTTCTTCTTCCTTTTTTAATAACTTTCTAGAGATTTTTTTGGTTTGTGTCGATAAGAGAGTGAACCTAGTCATACCTTTATATATTGAGACATTTCCTATGTAGAACTAAACTTTTAAGTTCACATTTAATTTTGGAGTCTAACCTACTTTATTAGATCATATTATTTTGAATTATAATATTATCTTTTATCATAATCAAATTAAATTAGACTGGTTTTGATAATATATGAAAAATAAATAATGTAAATGCACACTTTGATAATTTTTTTTTTAAAAAAAATTCACACTTTGCTTTAAAAAAAACTAGCAAGTTGATCCATCAATTCTTAAGCAAACACAAGATTTCTAAAAGAGTATTAAATTTATAGCCTTTAAATGTATAGTATTATTATTTGCCCTACTCTAGTTGATAATCATTTTGAAGAAAATTTCAAAATGAAATGCATAAGATTCAGTAGAGATGATTTTCAAAGAGTAATATGAGAAATAGAGCAAGATTAGAACAAAGGAAATTTTTTTTTTGGAACCAACAAGCTACTGATTCCTTTCTCATCTATAGTATATATTCTAGCTCTTACCTCACAATTACAATCTCTTCCACGAAGCTTAGATCTATAATGAGCACAAAAAACAAAAGAAAAATAGCTGAGCACATCAATCAAAGGATTTATTTTTAAGCATATGGCTTTTAACGACAACACATAAAATGACACTATACTAAGTCATACAACTAAGGCAGCTAATAACAAAGACACACTGGAACGACACTAAAGACTGTGTTTTAAAATAAGAGAGAAAAAAGCAAAAAATGATGTCGTACAACACTCTTCAGTCTTTTCCTTCAACCCTATTGATTCGCTCCCTTATTTAAACCTTTAACTACTAGAATCACAAACTTCAACAAACCTCCTTGATTCTAATAGGATAAACACCCAACTTGTCTCTAAGAAACTTAAATCAATCAGCCTTTAATCCCTTAGTAAAAATGTTTACCACTTGATCATCAGTTTGATAGTATTCAAGTTGGATCGTACCTTCTTTAACAGCATCTCTTAATGCATGAAACTTTTCCCTTATGTGCTTTGTTTTACCATGCTGAACTGGATTTCTAGCAATAGCCATTGTAGATTGATTATCAACTCTTATCAGAGTACCTTTAATCTAAAGAAATTTTAAGTCTACAAGAACTTTTCTTAACCACAAAGCTTGATTAGCAGCTATAGCAGTGGCTATGTATTCTGCTTCAGCTGATGATTGAGCAACAACTTTCTACTTCTTTGAGCTCCATGTAAACACACCATTAGCAAAGGAAAAGTAATATCCTCCATTACTTTTAGAATCTTCAACTGATCCAGCCCAGTCACTATCAGTGAATCTTTGCAATTCACAATTTTCAGACTTCAGAAACCATAAACCATAACTTGCAGTACCTTTCACATACCTCAAAATATGTTTTGTTATAGTGAAGTGATGAACTGATGGAGCTTGCATGAATCTGGATAAAAAGCTTGTGGCAAACATCACATATAGTATGGTAGCAACTAAGTACAACAAAGAGCCAATGATACTTCTATAAAAAGTTTCATTTGCCTTTTCTACACCATCATCAATACAAAATCCGCTTCTAGTAGCTAAAGGTGTTCTAATGGCATTGCAGTAATCCATACAAAATTTCTTCAGAAGATCCTGAGCATATTTGGATTGATGAACTATAATTTGTCCTGTTGATTGCTCAAACTCCATCCTTAGAAAATAAGTGATAAGCCCTAGATCAGTCCTTTCAAATACCTTCAACATATCAACCTTGAACTTTGCTATGCAATCACTTTCTAAACCAGTTATCAGCAAATCATCTACATAAACAGCCATAAAAAGCTTTACTGAATCATCATCCTTGTCAACATAAGGAGTAGCTTCATTTATGCTTTTCTCAAAGCCATGAGTCCTTAGATGGTTATCCATCCTCTCATAACAAGCTTTAAGAGCCTGTTTAAGGCCATGCAAAGCCTTTATTAACTTGCAAACTTTCCCTTCAGCACCCTTCCCTTCATTCCCCTCTAGTTGTTCAACATAGATGTCATTCTTTAGAAAACCATTCAGAAAAGCTAACTTAATATCTAAATGAAAGAGTTTCGAACCTTCGTTGCCTGACAAGGCAACAAGCAATCTGATTGTATTATGCCTTACAACTGGTACAAAAGTCTCCAAGTAATCTACCCCATACACTTGTGCAAACCCTTTCACAACCAATCTAGCCTTGTGCTAATTAACAGAACTTTCAAGATTTAGCTTGGTCTTGAAAATCCACTTGACACCTATCACATTTTGATTTGAAAGTCTATCAACCAATATCCATGTATTATTCTTCTTGATCATCCTAATTTTAGCTTCCATTGTTGCTCTCTAGTGATCTTCCTGAGCTACTTCAACAAAGTTGAAGGGCTTAGTTATAGCAACATTACATCTGCTATAAATGTCTAGCAGTGACCAAGTGCCTTTAATATATAGTCTCTCATCCTTTATATGAAAAGAATCATCATCATCATCCACTTAAGGATCAACAGCAATAGTCACTTTTTTTAACTCTATCAACAGACTCAATTTTTTAATTCTAAAAATACCCTTCATCAAAATTGACATCTCTACTAATGAAAACCATTTTAGATTTTGCATCATAGAGTCTATATCCCTTAGTTACCTCACTATAGCCAATGAAGATAGCAACAAAAGACTTAGCATCAAACTTTGACCTTTTTTCATTTGCAATTTTTGCATAGCACAAGTAACCAAATGTTCTGAAGTGAGCCATAGAAGGCTTATTACCAAACCACAATTCATATGCCATTTGCTATGGTAGAACTCTTGAATAAGTCTTATTTAGTATATAATTTGAAGTATTCACAGCCTCTACCCAGAAATACTTAGGCATTTTCATTTGGTATAGCAGACACTTGGCCATTTTTACAAGTGTTCTATTCTTTCTCTCTACCATGCCATTTTGGTAAGGGCTATAGATCACTGTTAGTTGATGTCAAACTCCATAATCTATTAAACACCTCTCAAACTTTGAAGCTGTAAACTTAGTACCATTATCATTTCTCAAGGTCTTAATCGTTGATTCAAGAAATTTTCCACTAAGGGTTTAAATTGAATAAACTTTTCCAAGGCACCAGATTTCTACTTGATGAAATACACCCAGTAAAACTTTGTAAAATCATCAATGAACAAGATGTAGTATCTGCTGCCATTCAAAAAAGGATTCTTCATTGGTCCACTAAGATCAATATGAACCAATCTAATTTTCTAGATGCTTTCCACTTACTCACTTTAGGAAAACATTTCCTAGTTTGCTTACCAAGCTAACAGGTTTGACAAAGCTTGTTTGGCTTAGTGATGGCAAGTAACCCTTCAACGATACCTTTAGATACCTTAAGTGACAAAGATGTATAGTTGACATGCCCAAGTCTTCTGTGCCAAGTTTTTGACAGATCATGTTCATTATGCAAAGCCAAATGAGTTGTGTCAATTAGATTCAGTGGATAACAGTAATTCTTCATCTCCACAATAAACAATTCTTCTCCATGTGGATCCAAGACTGTGCACAACTGATCTTTGAACAGCAAGGCAAAATGCTCTTCTACTAGTTGACCAACACTCAATAGATTTTGGTTAACTTATGGAACAGAATGCACACTGTTAATATACTTATCTCCTGAAACTGTCTCAACCCACACAGTTCCAACTCCAAGTATTTTCAAAAAATTTCCACCATTTATCTTGACTTTAAACTGAAAACTAGTACCTAGAGTAGTGAAAAGACCTTTGTTACTTATGAGATGGTGAGAGCAAGCACTATCCAACGGCCACATATTGGTCTTCTCTGAGTCTTCCTCCATTTTTACCATAAACAAAACCTTATCATCATTGTCTTCCTATTCTACTATAGTTGCTTGAGTTGAAGATTCAGTCTTCTTTGCTTTACATACTTTTTCTACATGCCCTGCACTTAACATTGGGTCCATACCAACAATACCTTTCAAAATGATTCTTCTTCTTGCATATAGAATGGGCTGGCTCGTCTAGGGGCTTGTGTTGCTTTCTCCTGCTGGGCAGCCTGTACCTGTCCTCTGCTATCCAGTGGGGGTTCTCTCCTAGCAATACTCCCCATATGCCGGCACTCCGAAACACCCTTCGGCCTCCTCCAATGTGCTAAACTGTGGTCCGTGACATTGCCTCGTGCTTACAATCTCTTTCACAAAGTTGAGATCTATAATGAGCACAAAAAACAAGAGAGAAATAACTGAGCACAAGAATCAAAGCATTGATTTTTGTGCCAACAACGGCTTTTAACAATTGAAGGAGAAACAAATAAGCATACAGCGTTTAGCAGCTATACATAAAACGACACTATACTAAGTCGTACAACTAAGGCAGCTAATAACAAAGGCACACTGGAATGACACTAAAGGCTGCGTTTCAACATAAAAGAGAAAGAAGCAAAAAACGATGTCGTACAACACCCTTCAGTCTTCTCCTTCAACCCTGTTGATTCGCGCCCTTATTTGAACCTTCAGCTACTGGAATCACAAACGTCAACACATTTGCACTATCAAATATAGAAAGATGTTCGTCATGAGAGTTTCGACTTCTTCAACGTTGCTGTGAACGGTGCATGCCTTTTTAAATATGGAATGTGGCCTAAAAGACACCCCATGAACAACAATAAAGATGCATACTCAAATTCTAAATCTTTGGAAGACGCTTCAAGACGTGCTTTAGGTATTTTCCTCTTTTTTTTTTTCTACAACTTAACATTAGAAAGAATATCTGATTCAGTCTTCAGATCCCACATTGTGAGTAGCTTAGAGTTTATATGAGATTACAAGCTTTCTAAAATCACATTTAAAGTTTTTGAATGGTGTTGTGTTTTTGACTCTAACAAAAAATAAATAAATAAATAAATAAACTACGCAAACTCCTTCACCAAAATGTAATAAGCAAAATGTGAAACTTGTAGAGTTATCATCGATTCATTAAGAGAGAATGTGATAGCATAAATAAAAACCGAAAGAAAATATAGTTCCAATTTAGAAATTATGTAATGAATAATGGGTTATTCAATGCAAATGAATGGACTCCGTAACTGCATCTGGTTAAGTTTGTTAAGGGAGAGAGCAAAGCAAGCCTCTGTTTTGGGTTAGCGAAACAGAGATGAACAGAGAAAATTCCTAAACAAGGTTTCTTCATATATTCATCATTCAGATTACTTCAAACATACATACATATGATGATTACATGTTCTCATCTACTTACCCCATGCAGATGCATACCAAAGACCATTGTTGTCTCAATAGCACACGTGTCATGCTTTCCACTTAGGCTCGATGCAAGCATTACTTGCAACACATCTAAAGGGAGATGACAGCACATATGGTTTGTATTAAAGTAAGCACAAGGAGGACAATTGCAGCAATTGTAGCAACACCGCTCCATTGAGTTGAGAAATACTGGAGTTTGAGAATTGCTATCCAACTATGATGGCGAACTGCATTGTAAGCATTGAGCTTCCTAAAAATATCAGAGTAGTGGTTTGTTTCCATTGGAGCAACATGCTTGCACAATTTGTTGAATAAAGTTACCACTGCTTTATGGCTGCCAAGCTGGTTGATGAGAATTCTTTTTCGAACGAGTAAATCCACGTCTTCGGTAGACTGGATGAGATATTCCATTACAAAAATATAGTCACAAATGAGAGTTTCATGTGGATAGTAGCGTTGCTCCCAGGCCATGAGGTTTCGGAAAAATGATTCCGTCAACTCATCAAGTCTCAAAGGGGGGATTTTCAACTCTCCGCTGTTTCGGTTAAATTCTATGTCGAGTAAGCATCTGTTTGTGCTCACTTTAAATTTCACCCCTGCTTCACGCAGCAGAACTGCACTGTATAAATATTCACCTTGCACTTCGCCCCCCTCTAGGCTTTCTTCTGGCCTTTTGGATGATGGTAGCTGAAGGGTTCTTAGCAAGTCTGTGAAATGTTTAGCGTCTTTCAGCTTAGCTCTTCCATGGCAACCGTTTGGTGCCTGAATGGATGTGTGCTGGTTGTAATAAGGGCGGAAGAAGTGACAGGTAAGATCAAGAAAGGAAGGGAAGACGGGATTACCAGCAAAGGCAAGTTCATATAGGCCTTTAAGAATGAAGAAGGGTAGTTGATTTTCAGCCAAGAACAAGTCTCGCCGGATATTGTGCATCTTCCCTGGCCCATCGAAGATAAAATCCCTTTCCTCTCTCCATTCCTTGTTATAGGCTCTCAAGAAGAGTTCAATGATGAAGCTTGCATCCTCTGCAATCATCTTAATGAAAGGCCTGGAATTAGCGTTGTAACTGAATGGTTTTGCCTGTTTCATATGACTTCTGGACCGATCGTATAGTCGGAAATGGGTTATTTCATAACAACCATTGATTCGGTCTGCCGAGTCTTTGATCAATTTACAAAAATCCTTCAAGCTAGCTTTCTTCTCAGCTCTCTTGAGAAATGAGTCCATATATATCAACTTTTGCGTTTGGATGTCGTTTGAAAATTGCTCGATACAACAAAGAGGGCCAATAATGACAACATTCGGTCCGTAGGCTTCTTTATTTACTTCACGGAGTAAGGGGTCAGTGCAGAAGATAATACGCTCTTCTGTCAAGGGACGCTGAGAATAGGACCGCACAATGTCAAACTGGCATCGTTGAATCCATTCCGTAAGCGCGATCAGTTCTTTTTCTGAGGAATTATTTTTTATATCAGCCTCATGGTTTCTTGGAACGTTTTCCATCTGTCAGGTTGTTTAATTTCCCACCTTAACATCAAGACAAACTTAGCGTTAAAAAGTCATATGTAGGATAATTCTATCTAAATTCAGGAAACGAATTCCTAGTTAGTTGAGAAGTAGTTGTATTTTGGGAAAGGAAAAAACTAAGTTAAATTATTTATTAAATTAGTACTGATAATCTTAACCATTAGAACCAAACAATACATTAAACATATTTTAGTATTATTAATTAGTACCCAATATCTCTAAATGTGATATAATTTGATGGTTTGTATTAATCTCTGATACTAGAGTAAGTGTAGACGTTTTTCTTTTATAATTCTTTACGTGCATCTCTAATTTTCTTTTTTGATAAACTAAACAAAAGGATTAACTTCAGGAACCCTACTTCAAATATTCAATATGATATAATAAAAGATTTGCAGTGCATACTTAAGATTAACATTAGTTGAAATGGTCGTTGATTCTATTACTACCATGGTCCCAAAAAAAAATGATGTGTCACTAATTCAGTCACTAAAAAAACACACCGTTTGTATTTCCATAGACGAGTAATTACAATTTCCTTCCTAACGAAAACAAAGTTTCCACTACCTTCCCAATATATACTCAAAAAATAAAGGAATGAAGTTCTAGGAAAGTAGACCGAATTGTAATCCTTTTTCCTTTGAACCATAGTGACATAATGTTAATACTTGACTTAGTTCAATACGAATTCTATCAGCACAACCCATCCCATATACCCTTACTTCCCCAATTGTAATTTACCAATTTCTTTTTTTTTTTTTTGTTTTGGACCAGTAATTTAATTTAAGAAGAATTGAAGATCTGAGAAATGCAAAAGTAGCAAGGAGCAATATATTAGATCCAGTAGAAGATAAGAACAAAATGTTAAATGAAGTACCTCTTGTTGTTGTAGTGTACTACTCCAATGCCTATGATCCCTGGAGAGTAGCTCTTCTTGGATAACAGATGGCGAAGCCAACAAAGTTTGAAGAAGGCTGAATTTCCCTTCCTATTCGTGAATTTCTGCGCTCCCATTAATCAACATATATGTAGAAACTTGTATGAATATCGTCCATTGATCTCCCTTAGCTAGTCATATTTTATTCATAGAATGTTACATCAGAGCACGTGGGCTAGCTGTAGTACTGCAGCTTTTGTCCTGTATGGTCCATCCATTGGTCCATCCATTGACTCTAAACATACTTTAGTCGTGGTCTTTTTTTAATATTTTTCCTATTGTCTCGCTTGTCATGTTCTTTGTGGGTACCACTATATTATTTAGCCCTTTTGTTTATGGCTGGTACGAGTTTGAAGTGTTTGTTCAATCTTGTACGGGGGAAATTAAGATTATTGGATGAAAGGGTGGTCATGCTGATCCCTTTATTTTGCTTAAGTAACAAATTGGTTGGCCCTTTTGGTTTTTGAAAAAATAATATTTCTTTGCTGTTGAAAAAAAATGAAAAAAAGAAATATATCCATTATTCGTCTTCAATAGGGCAAGGTTTGGTTGAACTTGGGTTAGATGGTCTTAAAAAGTAAATCTAAAAACAAAGTTTTCTAGTATAATAAAAACTCTTTTTAAGTATTCACATTTGTTCACATCTCAATCAATTAATAAATAAATAAAACTAAAGGATTCCATTTTATTAAAACAAACAATAAATTTTAAAATGAAACAAATAAATAAAATAAAATAATTTATTATTAACTAAAAACAAAAGATAAAATCAAGAGAAAATAATTTAACCAAGTAAAAATGATAAATGTGAAAAAAATAAATTTCTCCTTATAATTTTATAAATTATTGAGGGGTAAAGTGAGAATATTAAACAATAAAGTCCAGAGTGTTTTTTAACTCTGACAATTTGCAATAAAAAATTTTGTATTATTCAAAAAAAGTTAGAATATTAAACAAACTTATTAAACATTTCAATTTTTTTTAAATTTCATGTAAAATTTCAAATAAACATTTATATGAATTAAAAATAATAGCATTTTGAAACTTCTACTTTTACAATGAAAAAAACTCTTTTATAAGCTGGACAATCATCCTCCAAACACTCTTATACCATTGACCCACCTCAATGCAGATGGGCTGTAGAATTTTTGTTAACGACAAATAAGTACGCATTGCCACGTTTTTTTACATTTGCAGCCAATGAAATATACGACATATTCATTATATAGAATATATATACTCTACCTATGATGCGTCTTCTTTCAAGAGTCATATTATTATTTTATTAATATAAAATTTAATTGATATTAGTGAAATATATTTTATTTTATTACTTTAATATAGTTTTTCTGTAATTATATTATGCAAGTAGTATTATCTTCATATAATATTATTAATTTTTTTTTAATTGATAAATCACACGTTTTTCGAATTTGTTGAGTTACAGATCTTAACTAAACATATTCATGACTTACCTTATGAATTGTTAAAATTTCTGCATGGTTAGAAGAACTAGCAATTATAATTTGTTTTACAGAATATCATGAAATAGTCGTACTTCTGTATGTAAATAAATAACCTGTTTAGGATTAAGCTTTATGTGGATCAGATAAATGCATCTGTACAGCCAATTAAATTTGATTTTGATACATTTGAATAATAAAAACCCATGTTCCTTATTCCTCAGAGATGTCGAAGTATATGTTTAATTCCATTCCAATATTTTTAAGTTCGAAAGGAATTATATCTTGTTAATAAATTTACAGTAATTAATATATCAAGTCATGTATTGCTAACAAGATATATTAGTTCTTCAATGGCATTAAAACATGGTACATAAAAATTAAGAAGTTCTTTATTATCTTCACGAGATCGGAAAGGGTCTTTTCTTCGCATCTAGTGATCTTATAACCATTGGTGAACTCAATAGATGTGCTTTATCTATATAAAACCGTTTTAGCATTTTTACTATATAATTAGATTGATAGACAAAATTCTATTTGTCAAGTGGTTAATTTGAAGACTCAAACAAAAATTCATTTTTCCAAAGTCTTTTATGTCAAATTCTTTCTTTATGCAATCCACGACTTTTGATAATTCTTCAAGAGTTCTAATAATGTTTAGGTTATCAACATAAACAACAACCATCACAAATTTATATCCGAATATTTTACAAAAAGACATGGGCATATATGATCATTTTTATAACCTTCTTTCAACAAATATAAAAACACATGAATTGCTTAAATCCATAAAAAGATTTATTTAATTTAATCGAATAAATTTTTCAAGAATTCAAATTTGTGTGCTGCAAGCAACTTAAATCCTTTTGAGATTTTCATATAAAGATCGTTATCAAGTGAGCCATATATATAGGCTGTAGTTATATTCACTTGACGCATTTTAATCTTTTCATGTATTGCCAAACTAATTAATATAGAATTATAATTGCATCTACAACAAGAGAATATGTCTCTTCATAATCAATATTATGTCTTTTGGTAAAACCTTGTGTGACAAACCGTGCTTTATATCTCACAATCTCATTTTTCTCATTTCATTTTCACACAAATACACATTTATGACCTACTGGTTTTACACTATTTGGTGTATAGACTACAGGTCCAAAAGCTTCATGTTTTACAAGTAAATTCAGTTCCATCTTGATTATGTCTTTCAGCATTGGCTAATCATTTCTATTTCTACATTCTCCGATATGTTTAAGCTCGAGATCTTCATTTTCTTTCATAATATTGAACGCTACATTATATATAAAAATATCGTCAACGTTTATTTCATTTTGATTCCATTCTCCCCTATCATGACATAATTTATTGACATCTCTTCATTTTCAATGATTTAAGATACATGAATTTCTTATGAAATTTTATCAATTATGTTAAGGTTTTCTTCTGGACTTTTTATCTCTTTTTTCTGTCCATCTTGTATATTTGCTCATTTTCTCTTTTGAGGATTTTATCTTTGGAATCGATTGTTCTCTTATGCTTTTGGTGTGCCTTGTGCTACTAGGTCATCAATTCTAATAAGAGTTTTTGTAGTTAGTATATAAGATTTAATTATTCTCTTTAGGTTAGTAAATATGTCTAGCAACTAATTTGCTATATTTTGTAAATAAATTATATTTTGAATTTCAAGTTTACATTGATTTGTGTGAAGATCAAAACTAGATAATGATAATGCATTCCAAAATATTTCCTTTTCCAGTTGCTTGTTTTTCTTCCTCTAATATTGAAAAAAATTCTTTCATCAAATGACAATCGACAAACCTTACTATGAATAAATTTCCTGTTAATGGTTCTAAATATTTAATTATAGATGGAGATTCGTATCCAACACATATTCTTAGTCTCCTTTGGGAACCCATCTTTGTGCGTTGTGGTGGAGCAATTAGAATATATACCGTACATTTAAAAATTCTGAGATCAGAAATATATTGGTTTTTGACAATAAACCAATTGTATAAGTGAGAATTTATAATAACTTATTACCCTCATGCATACAAGTGCCGCTACATCAAAAATAGCATTCCTCTAAATAGAAATTGAGAATTTAGATTTTATAAACAATGACCTTACAATCAGTTGGAAGTGTTTAATAAACGATTTTTTTAGATAATTTTGTATATAAACATGAGCAATAGGCTGTTTAATAGTTATTTCAACTAATATATAATATTCATTAAAAGCTTAATATATAAATTCACCAACATTGTAAAGATGAATAGTCTTTATTATATAGTCAGGAAAATGTGCTTGCAAATGTCAAATTGCAAGTTGATACATCTGACCATCCAGTTGATGCATTAATTAAAATTGTAAAATATCTCAATGGTCCATATGATGGGTGTACGAATCCACTTATATCACATTGAATATGCTTTTAAAATGTAGGGGATTTCGTTTCAACTTTAGCTAGTGATGGCCGTATAATTAATTTACCTTCAAAGCAAGTAACATATGAGAATTCATTAGATTGAAAAATCTTTTGGTTTAATTTTTCAATGGATGACTACATGTATTTTCAATAATTTTTTGCATCATTATTGATATAAGATTGCCTAATCAGTCATGTCAAACATTAAAATCATTAGTAAACTTCTGCTGCTTTACTATAACATGAATCTTAATCGTTTTAATTTTTGTATAGTACATTTCATAGGATAAAGCGAGTAATTTTTTCAATACACACTTTTTTACCCAACATAATAGATGCAATATAAAGGTATTCAGTGTCTCTTTCATTCATTGTCTCAATATTATATCCATTCAGACGAAAAACTTAATAAATTTCTTTAAGACTTAGTAGAAAATAACGCATTCTCTATTATAAAATCTGTTCCTCTAGCTAATAAAATATTAACTCTTCTGAAGTCTTTAATTAATTTTATACTACCAGATATTGTGTTGATATTGGTTTCTTCCATTGTCAAATGGAAAAATATTTTTTATTTTTAAATATAATGTGCATCGTAGCAATGGCTGCTAGACATGTATTGGCATAATTGATCTCGGATTTAACAAGATGAATATCAAGTTTGATCATTTCTCAACTTTGTTCTGTTGATGTGGCATGCACTTTTTCGCTAAAAATTAAGTTTGCTGTGATTATGGTTCTTTGCTATCCCTTCTTCACTTTGGCCACATTAAGTGCCTTTTTAGCTTCATGGTTTATTTCTGTTGGTTGGATTTATTTTGCTTGATCGTGCTGGCATGTTATTTCTTTCTTTTTGTGGTTAGAATTTTTCAAGGTTTTTTGTAAGCTTTTCTTCATGGGATTGCCTCTCTCAATTCCCTCTTGTAATTGCCTTCTATCTTGCCATTCAAAAAAAAAAAAGATGAACATCAATATTTTTTTTCAATAAGACAAGATACATAATAAAAAACTTATAAGTTAACATAAGAGAACATTAACTATATAATTTATTAATTAAAATACATAATAAAAATATATTATTTAAATATAATAAAAACATATTAATAAACTAATATGTATCAGCTATTTAGTATAAGCTTTTGAAAATTTTACGTGTAAAGGATAATTTGTCTATATTTTTTAAAAAGATTAATAAACTT